TCAACCGTGCCGCGATGTACAGTCGGGGCGTTGACCTAAGGAACCCTAAATAAGGAACGAGGCCTCTTTTTTCCATAAGTTGAACTTCGATTTCCGGTCGAAAACCTAAGGAAAACCTGAGGCAAGCTGCGAAACACTTAAGGCACGCGGAGCCCCTCTCCAACGAAAAGGGTTCCTTCTTCAGGGCCCCGACTTTACAAGACGGGAGTTGAGGCCGGAGGTCCCTTTGAACCCCCCCCCCTCTCTTCGATACTGAGGCGGCCAGTCGACAGGATTGTGAGGAAATGGGCAGGATGGAATGGAACGGAGTGGTGATAAAGAAATGAAAGGAGTGAGGAAGAGGGAGGTGGATAGGCGATGTGGGGAGTGGAGCGGGGTTAGATTTGGGAGTTGGGAGGAGCCTAATGAAATAGGAGCCTCTGTGGGCGCGCATGGGGCCTCTGTGGGCTGTATCTGTGCACAGTTCGTCGCTATGAAATTCCTCTTGTAAGCCAGTCACACGGGGAGGTCTGAATAGAAACCCGACGATTACGACAAAAAATCAATGGAGCACGCTTGAAAAACAGTTGAACAGACATGACACAGTACAGAGTGGCGATCAACAACACGAAGCAACTGAAATCTCCCGAAGGACTACAAAAAATATTGACTTGTGCAACAGCCGCAAAAAGAACTCAAAGGGAAACCCGCAAGACAAGAAATTCAAGTGACAACCCGTCACACAAACGATTCAAGTGCAAATCTCTCATTAAAAAAGAAAACCCGACACAACACGACATCTTATCAACACAACTGAAAATACGAGAACAACTGAAAACGAACCCCTACAACGATGAAACCACTTGCCGTTCAACAACCAAAATATCGCACAATCAATTTAACCGTAAACTGGCCGCACAAAGGATTCAAGAGCATATCCGCCACATAATGAATTCGACAGTACATCCTTCTCAAAAGGAATATATGTGTAAGCCTGGCGCCAAAAGAAATATGCCTGTCAACCCCTGACAAAATGAGCTCACTTGCAAATCCACCGAACTGGGATGTGTGTAGATCAGTCGCATCATAAAACCTAGCTGAAACCATTTGACAGCAACATCTGGCGGGAACCTAAACGTAACAATGAAAAGCTGCGAAGCAAACTGGAGCATCGCGAACCTCCACATAAAGAAATCCAATTCCAATCCTGCCATATGGGGACTATACGTGCGAAACCGTCACAAACAAAGTATCACACCCTTCCTCCTTCTTGTTTCTCTTCTCCCTCCTCATCTTACTCTTCCTCCTCCTCTTCATCCTCCCCTTCAACGTTACTAGCGAAGAGTGCTGACCGTAAGACTACATCTACAACTACGCCGATTACGACCACTACTACGACGACGACTACTACTACTACTACTGCTGCTGCTGCTACTGCTACTACTACTACTACTACTACTACTACTATCACTGCTACTACTACTTCTACTTCTACTTCTACTTCTACTACTACTACTACTACGACGACGACTACGACGACGACTACGACTACTACTACTCCTACTACTGCTGCTACGACTGCTGCTACTACTGCTGCTA